TTGGATGAAACCATCCATTTTGGTATGTGAAAACGGGCACGTAGTGTAACGGTCGACATGCAAGACCACCAAGTCAGAGTTGGTGGGTCGACACTCATAAAATTAAAAAAAACAAGAGGAACCTTCCCGACTATTGTCGGCTTAGCAAAAAGTGACTCTTAATTTCAAAAAAATCGTGATAACAATTAATACACTAGGGAAATGTTTTTTTGATTTCTTCCGATTTGAAATTAACTGATTGTCGAAACAATACCATCTGTAGCCCACACCACATTTTGTGATAGTGATACATGCTCAATGAAATAGCATCAAGTGTGCTCAAAAAAGGGTTTGTGAGTGAGAAGTCGTGAAAAAGTGAGGCAACGGAGCGCATACGTCATCACACAGATCAAAATATGAACTTCACAAAGAAAAAAAAGGGGTGGGGGTTTATAGAACAACTCACCGACTAGGTGTCTGGAAACAGGAATGTAAACCCACTAGGAAGGGATGATTACTGGCAATCTCAAAGACGTGCTTCTCCGTTTGTACCCAGTCAATATCCTACAGAGGAGAAGAAAGATATAAACAACGATAAAAGTTGCTTATGAGACATTAAAGTAGACGAAGCTGGGGACCTCATTTGCCCCCCCCCCCCACCCACACCCCTCGTATAGGGATTAGTTTCCAGCACATAAGCCAACATGGTTCCAACTAGCAGTTGATCAGTGGGAAGCTAGGACTTAAGGTATAATCAATAGCAAATCCCGTGTTGTTTGAGATAGGAGATATGCAGCCGTTTGCTCTTATTTTTGCAAAGAACTTGGTCCATCTGCGCGTACTTCGTACATTTATATCTAACATATTTCATACTGTGGGATGTGCGATAGACCTACCTCCACGTGGTGCACCCTGGGCAACGTATACTCATACGGCAAAGTCTAGTAATTCGGCAGTTGACGTCTGACTTCACAAAAAAGTCTATTAACCGGCAGTTGACTTCTGACTACTCAAACGGCAAAAAAGTCTATAAACCGGCAGTTGACTTCTGACTGAAAAGGTCTATTAACTGGCAGTTGACTTCTGACTTCAAATAAAAGTCTATCAATCGGCAGTTGACTTCTCACTTCAAACTAAAGTCTATTACCTGGCAGTTGACTTCAAACTACCATGAGTAAGTCTATTAACTGGCAGTTGACTTCTGAGTTCAAACTATCATGACCCCTCTAGTAATTCGGCAGTTGACGTCTGACTTTCAACTACCATGACCCCACTGAATGTCATATTCGACCACTTTAACAGTACCCACCTTACCTTTTTCTCTACCATTGTGTCCGTCTATTTTATATCTGTCAACCACTCTTCTTTCCCCGCTTTCGAACTTTTCTCATTTTGATGTTCCTCTCCTCTGTGAAGTCCGGAGTCAGATAAAAGGGCTAATGATAACTATCAACAAAATGCCTCCCATTTGAAACAAATAAAAAAATATAAATATTTTATACTGCGATGGCATTAGATGTTTTATAACTAATACTCTATTAAAGGGAATCAACTCTATATATATATATATATATATATATAAGACGCCAGAGAGAACAGAAGTACTTCCTTTGACTTACCTCTTCATCTGTAATAATCTCCTTCTTGATGACTTTCATGGCGTAGATTTTTGAGGTAGGTTTGTATTCAACTTGAAAGACCTTGGCGTAACTGCCACGGCCAATTACACGTAGGAGATTGAAGTTCTCCAGACCAATATGCTCGGATTTGATGGGGACTTTTGGAATGATAAGCGAACCGTCATCGGCCAAATTTTTGAGTGGAGGCTTGACTACCTCCTTATAATCAGCTGTACGTGTGCCATCAAGAACCTTGAATAGAAAAACGAAAGAATAAAATCAATATGCTACACAGTTGATAAGTGCAATGCAAATGTGCCGAAATTCAATGACTTCAAATGCAAAACCTCTAACTTTTAAATTGTCATTCTTTATTTTCTCAATATGAAGACTAATATAAAAATGTATCAATAGGAACAATTTGCAATGCACTGTATTAAAATTGGGTAAAAGATTATTTTTAATTATAATAATCGCCGTATGCTGAGTAATAAATAAACAAAATCGCAGAGCGGTCAACACTTTTTAACTGCGAAGTCGGATATCACGGGTTTGATGTACACCTAGAGAATTGAATGCTTAACCCCGTATATCAGCCGCATTGAGTTAACAAAGACAAAACATAATTTGAAAATGATTTCGGAAAGTTATTTGCGAAAGAGCTTTCCTAAAGGTGTTTGAGTTTATTTTTATATGTACATCACAGACCCCTTTACCTTAATAACATATACACACTAGTTGATAGTTTTTTTTTCTCTATGGGAACAAGGATTACTAAAGGCTATTAATAAAAAAGTAGAAATGATTAAATAAGTAACTTACAGAGCCTGCAAAG